ACACACACACACACACACACACACACACACACACACACACACACACACACACACACACACTTTGACTCTTTGATAACAGGAGTCATTGCCAGTGTTGACCTATCAGTATGTCATTTCAGGTTACCTATACATTAAAATAAACGTCACAAGGTTAAACGCTGATTTTGGAAAACAAAAAAAACAAAAAAAACAAAAAAAAAAAAGGTTTTTCAAAAGTGTTGAAAAGTAGTACTCAGAGTCAAAGTCAAAATCTTACTTAAATAACACTACAAAGGTTTTAACATCGAGTACTCATTATGCACACTCTGGTGTAATTGTGCTCTTGGAGCCATTAAATTGTGACCATATAAAGAAATGGTCATCAACAACAGTCAGAGAGCCTGTGGTGTTCACATCATGAGCAGTTGGCATTAATGGACTCAAAGTGTGCCAAGGAAACATTCCCCTGAACATTACACCACCAGCAGAAGCTAGGACTGTTGACACAAAGCTCCATGGAGTCAGGTTGTTGTTTCTGACTGAGCATCTGCAGACTTGATACTACAAACTACATTTTGCACTTTGGTTTGTGGTACCAGTAGGTTGGAGCAGATTCTCTGTTCAGCAAAAAAGGGACTGAGTAAATGAAATCTATCCTGTCTGGCTTCTGACGTCTCGCTGGATGTTTTCCCCTCATAGTTCAGTACATTTGTGCTGAAAATCCAGATGGTCTAACTAATAAGTAATAATCATACATTAGTGAGGTGTGTAAACACTAAATTTACTTTTTTTTTCAGGCTATGAAAGTGGCTTTCTTTTTACCTGATAAGACCAGAGTAACTTATGTTGAATATATAACACAATCCAATTTAAAATAAACTTCCTTTAATGACAGCATGCTCAAAATGCATTTTACATTCTCTACAGACAGAATATATTTTATACATGCAACCTGTGGAGCCATATTTTACTGACACCACTGAAGCAAGCCTTGCTGCAAATTTACTGCAGGACAAACTGTTCGTATTATATTTTCTCAAGAATTCAGTTTCTAAAGTAGAAAATGCATAAATATAATTTCATACTTTACTCTAATCTGCTGCCAATTCTTCCCCCCCCCACACTTCTCACATCATAGCAAATACAACAAAGAGTCATGTGTCCACAAACTAAAGGCACATTTGTAAATAGGCTGTGGCACAGAGTCTGAAGCTACTGATTATAAAACGGCATGTAAATGGATCAAGTTTAAAGTCTCAGAGCTCTAATGTGCACACAAGAAGTACACGTAATGATTTTCTGCAGCATTGCTCACTTGGCTTACATGCAGCACCTGTGTTGTCCTTTGCTGTGTCATTATTTTACATTCCTTATGTTTGTCTATTGTCCATTCCTCTGATTAGGATTCCTAAGTAAGCAGAACGATCAATTACGTGCAGAAGAAAAGTGACATGACAAGCAAAACACCCCCGTTAATGTGCAGCAGAAAGTGATAACCATCATCATATTAATGGTCATCTCTTAACTTTGGTTTTAAGTTTTGTCAAGACAGCTACCCAAAAGAAATTACAGCTGTGTCTAATTGCTTCGTAGTACGCCTCTCTGCTGTTTCATAAATAGCAAAACCAGCAATGCAAAGTGACTGACATTTTTCCATCCATCCATCCATTCACTTCCGCTTATCCTTTTCAGGGTCGCGGGGGGCGCTGGAGCCTATCCCAGCTGTCATAGGGCGAAAGGCGGGGTACAACCTGGACAGGTCGCCAGTCTGTCGCAGGGCTAACACATAGGGACAGACAACCATTCACACTCGCATTCACTTGCACATTCACACCTAGTGACAATTTAGATTAATCAATTAACCTATCCCCACAAGCTGCATGTCTTTGGACGGTGGGAGGAAGCCGGAGTACCCGGAGAGAACCCACGCAAACACGGGGAGAACATGCAAACTCCACACAGAAAGACCCCGGCCTGATGGTGGAATTGAACTCAGGACCTTCTTGCTGTGCAGCAACAGTGCTAACCACCGTGCCACCGTGCTGAACAACTGACATTTTTCCTCATTCTGATTTTTTAACATCAACTGAGGCTTGATTTCAGGCTGAGGTGAGTCAAGACAATATAAGATAAAACAATAACTAAACTCTTACTGTGTTTGCTCTTTGCTGTTCAGCAGGTTTACCAGAGCCATACAATGATGCTCAAACTCTCTGGTATAACTGTCACCATTCTTAATATACATGAGGATTACTGGTTTAAAATGCCTGCGTGTGTGTAACTGTACGTACCGAGTTCTTTCTTCCACTGAGCCTTCTTAGCTTCGATGGCTGCCTTGCTGTCTGACTGTCGCTCTTCCAGCCAGCTGAACATACCTCCAGACAACCTGAGGAACAACAGCATCATCACAACATCTTAAAAACTTGATTTTTTTTGGATCTGCTGTAACAATGATGTGACATTTGTGTTGTCTATCTATATTCATGCTTGAATTAAAGAGTCAGCTAAATTTCCAGAGTCCTATACACTGACTGCCATCTACAGTAGGTATGCATCAAGGGGAATTTGATTTTGCTACAAGAACTGTGACAAGCTCCTCACTTGTTGTCTTTCTGTTGTGAGGGTCCCATTGAATCTGTTCCTTCTCCATCTCCTTTCTTTATTCCCTCCCCTCCTCCTCCTCTGTCTTCCTCCCTCATATTGCCTCCTCCTCCTTCATTCTGTGAGTAGCCAGATTTTGAGCTTGTTTGATTTCCTGAAAGGGTGGGAAAAAAAAAAATGAACTTTTTAAATTGCTCTTCACTCTGTGCTTCAGTCCTTCTCAGTGCACCACTCTACCATTGCTTCCTTGAGTCTTGTCATCCTCTGGTGGGTGCTGCATATTGTTGGAGGTCTGGACAGTGCTGAGGATGTGCTGCAGCTGCTCACTGGTCAGACACACCATGCTGTCCTTCAGTGCTGCATCCCTACTGGCTGCTGGGTCTTTAAATCCTGCCTTTCCAGCTCCTCGAGTCCTAGTGTTTCCCGCTTGCCCCGTTTTCTCACCGGCTCTCAGGGGCCCAAGAGTAATACTGTGTTTCTGCCTGTCTGACTTTACCTTCAGCAGAAAGACAGAAAATCAATGGTTGAGGGGAGACAGTTACAGAGTTATTTTAAATTTAAGGCAACTTACAATACCCTATTTTATAAATAGTGCACAGTATGGACAGTCTGTTGTGGTGAAGAGAAAGCCAAGTGTTAAGGTTAAACTGTTAAATTACCGGTGTACCTGTAGGTCTTTTGACGATGACCTACAGATAGTGCCTGAATGAAAAAGATCGCAGATACAAGCAGTACAAATTAATTTTTGCACAAATGTGTCTATGTTCAGTCATTCAGGAAGAGCTCAGAGTAGACCTGCTGCTCTTTCACATCAAAAGAACCCATGGTTAAGGAATATAATGGGAACAACACTTGCAACTGGTGTTTTAGGCATTTTCTACTAAGAGATGACCCCACAACATGCTGGGGAGATTGTGGGCCTCAGCAGGCTTAGAAGGGCCTTTGTTTCCCCACCCAGAGGAGCTGGATGAAGTAGGTAGGAGACGAATATCTAGGAATCTCTGCTTAGGCTGCTTCCCCCATTGCCTGCATCCAAATAAGTGATAGAATCCAAAGAACCCCAAAGTATTTGAACTAGACAGTAATAACTCTAAACCAGTAGTGCATCAACAGAACAAAAATACAAAACATGAAAAACACGTACATACTTCTTATATACATATGTACATGAGAATTTATAAGAAATAGTCCCATTTTCTCTGCTATAATGCATCTCCTCCAGTATGTCAAAGCAATGATCCTTGAAATTTATTTTAATTTTTTTATGAAGTAAACAAAGTCACAGGAAAATATATGTGGAAAGTGAGACAGTTGGTGAGCAAAGATTGTGTTGGTGTGGCAAAAACCCCTCCCAAAACTGCTGTGTTTTTAATGTGCTGTGTGCCAGCATATGATGGCACCACAGTTCAAACCCTTTCAACCAAATGCTCTCTGTCAGATGCCTCAGGACATCTGACAGAGCATTCAGCGGAAATCTCTGTTGACAATCTCACCCTAGGAGACAAATCATGGAGAAAAAAAAAATAAATAAAAATGTAATGAGCATGCTCCTAGTCTTGCTTTTCACTCGATGGGCTGCCTTCTGGCTTGGAAACTGTGGAGTCTTGTCACCAGCAATGATCCCTCACATGAAATTTGTGCAAGGTTGAAATAGAAGTTGATGTTTGCTCTCTGTGCATGTTTGCGGTCTATGATTAAAGTATAGAAGAAAAGTGGCACAAGTGGTCATAACTGGTCTTCCAGAGAGTTCTGAAAGTGGTCTTTAGATGCACAAGAAGAAAAGAAGGTCGATCACATTTAGATCACAAAAAAGAAGAAAATTATCTTCAGAACAACTGAAGTGAAAAAAGTAAAGCAAGAAATTACAATATTAACAAAAACAAAGGAAAATGTAGTAGGAGACTGAATAAAAAAAGCAATACAAATTGGGAAAAATGTCTATAAATAGAACAGCCAGTTAAGAAAAACAGTAAAAAAAAATGTGAACAAAAACCATTGAAGAACTTCAGATTCAACAGAAAGCAAGTGAGACTAACAATATCCTGCTCACTCACCTTTGGATTTTATGTGTGAGTGGGACCAAGTCGGAGAGGAACAAATAAAAAATGTTATGTTATCATTTTATTATTTCATAGAAGCTTTTTTGAAAATGTGTCCAAACATTTACAGGTATGCTAAACCAGATCCTTACCTTGGCCACAGCTTTGACGATGCCAACTTTGTGATGATCATGTGTTTTCATTGAAGTCAAGCTGGCACTCTTCCCTTCAGTATTGGAGGTGACAGATGCACCTGCTCCTCCTGCCTTACTCCTGGCCCCTCTGTGCCTCATTGCCAGCTGTCGGGGTGGACGCTCCTCCCCCTGTACATCTGACACACAGGAGGTCTGCCGGCAGCTGAGGATGTTTGCTGCTCCAGGCCTGAAGGACAGCTGTGAGGAAACACACCAGATCAGACAAAACTATAACAGTCATAAAGCCGACAGACCATCATGCAATTGTTACTGATCATTAGAAACATAAACAATATGTCACCAAAGGTATTTGGATAAACACATTTTCATGAGAATATAATAGCCCAACTTTAAATTGGAGTCCTACCTTTGCTGGATTTTTATCAACACCTGCAGTGGAACAGGCATGGGAGTAGTAAGTATAATTTTGAAAAATAGGAATTTTACATAAAGTAATCTTCACAGTGTCAAAACACAGCTTTACCAGGAAGGTTAACTGACTGTTAACTGTGCGTTTGTTAACAGGATTACTCAAAGAGCTATGGATAGATTTGGATGGAAAACACTATTTTTCTGCACATCCAAAATTAAGATTAAAATGTAGATTATAAAAGCTTAAAGGTCTCACCATGACTGAGCAAAATCAACTTGGGTTTTCCATTTTCAAGTTCAAAAAGCAGGCCGTCCCTGTTCACAAACACAACATCGATTAGGGCACAGAAAAAACACAATAAACACCAAAAATTATACTGTAGCTGTACTGCACCTACAGAACCAACTGTTTCTACTTTCATTTTTCAAAGTGTGTTTTGTCCAAGTCAAAATATGGGATCAGGATCACTGAAACAGCACTCAAATAAAAACAGTCCAACCACAGGAGGGTCATGGTTTTTCTTCGCTTAAATGTCCCATTTATGAAACGTCACACAATCACATCTTATGAGTCAGTACAGGGCAAAGATCGATACTGTATTTAAGTCTCATTATCTAGTCTAAGTGGTTGGTGTATGCTCAATTTCCACTCCATATTTTTTATTATTGTACTACAGAAGCTTTACATATTCACAGTTCAAAATAATCCTTATTTATCTTATAGTGATGATGTGAGAGCTGACAGAAGTAGTAGGATTAATTGTGAAGTGTACCAAGCTTTACTCTGCTGATTCAGACAAATGCTGCAGAACTGATCACACTGTGCTCCACAGTACAAATGAATAATGACCCAAAGCATACCAAAAAAGTATTCCAAGAGTTTATCAAGGCACAGAAATAGGATATTGTACAATGCCCAAGTCAGTCACCTGATCTCACTCCAATAGAGCAAGCTTTTCAGCTACTGAAGACCAGACTGAAGGCTTAGAAATCCACAAACTAGCAGAAACTGAAGGTGGCTACAGTAAGTCTGCAGAGCATCTCAAGTGACGAAAAGGATTGTCATCCAAGTATTTAAAATTGTGTTAGTTTGCCAAATTTATTTTGCGCACATACAAATGTGACTAAAAACAGCTGCAATTCCCAAACAGTTAATGCAAAACCTGGAAAACTCAATTAAACGCTGAAAACTGATGTACAGAACCAAACTTCTAACTGTTCGACTATACTTACGGCTCCAAACCTTGTGCCCGTAAATCAATACAATGCTAAGATGTTTTGATGCACACCAGTCTCACGGTGAAATTTTCTGAGTTGTTTGTAAGAGCTGTAGTCAGGTTCATGGGGACCTTTGCAGGTTGACCTCCCCTCTTTTATTGCTGCAATGTAGTGTTTTTAAAATGGGTCATGTTATGTATTGATTCTCTTCGGTTTTAAGCTAAAATAATCCCCTTCATTTCACTGCGACACATTCGACCCATGTTAGCCTAAGCTAACTCCCCTTACCGTTATAAGGAAGACTCACCCGAGATTCATGCCGACAGAAGACGGCTACGCGTCTACCTAGGGCCGTATAAAACCAGATGTGGAAACTCAGCACATGACGTACAGCTTTATAAAATCGCTTTTGTCAGGCTCTGACTGGCCAAACTGCTGGTTCCTCTATGTACAAACAGTGTATGTTCGTTGCTGGCGACGACCAAGAAAAGTGTCACTGATTGGCTAATTCTTTATCATGTTTAAAATTAACAGCCAATCACATGTCTTCATTTGAAAGATTTAAACGATGTTGCATTTAAAGTAACTCGGAATTAGGCAAACGATTAAGCCTTTTCCCATCAGCTTGCTACCTCTATTAGCTATATAAATGGTCCACCACCTACCGGAAGGCAGTATAAATGTTGTGTGAATGAGGGTCACAGTGATCACCGTGATCGACTTGATTTTTTTTTTACTTTTCAAAGGGGTTCTGAAGGTAGCCTCCCTTCAGTTAATGCGTTGTTTACAGTGAGACGAATTACAGTGAGACGAATTTATGTAGTCATCCTTTTAAGTCACTCATATTTATGTATATTGTGGTTTGTTCTTTATATTGGGACAGCTTTTTTGTTTGCTTTTTTATGTCCCCACCTCGCTTACAGTATCATAACATAACTACTGAACATAACTACTGTAACAAAAATAATTTCCCAAATATGGGATAAACAAAGTATTCATCACATCAAAGAATAATCATCTCATCATAACCACCCCATATCATGATTTATTTTCAAAATCTTAGCTTCTTTTATCCACTTTAATTGCAGTTTTATCAACACTGTTAGTGTAGCATCTGCAGTCAGTTAGTTCTTTAAGTGTTTATGTTTAAATAATATCAGTATTTATGACCTTAATTAATCATTAATGAATTTAAGTCATATTGTATTATTGTACTGTTATTGTTGTTGTTGCTCTTGTTGTTGTTGCCAGAGGCGTTCGAAAGGTTCAGACAACAGTTTACATAACTGTAAAGCAGTCATGTAAACGTCCCAATTTAATAAACAATGTCTACTCATTATTTTTTGTTTTGGAAACTGAAACCAATTGAGATCAAAACTAAAGACATTTCAAGGTTTTTGTAAGAACTCACTGTTCGTATTTCTTTTCTTCTTTTTTTTAAAGTTTAAGTTATTTCTTGAATGAGATTTCTCGATTAATATGTGTTTTTTACAAGTTGTCTTTAACCTTGTGTATACCAAATATATTCAAATAACAGTTACATAACACAAAAATGTAAAGTACAAAAAACAGGAAACAAAGATAATTTGTCATGATTCTCAAGATCACCCCAGTAAAATCCCAAATATTAAAATATAAATAAATGTACTTATGATTAAATAATATAATGCATATGATTTGCATATTAAGTAAGTAAGGTAAGAACGCGAATGCCACCTAAACAAGTTCCACATCAATTATCTGCACTGTATTTATTTCTGAATAACTATTCATATATGCCTCCCTAACCCACCTCCTGTATGCCACTCCATTTGAAAATTCATGTAACTTCAGACTAGTGGTGACTTTTGGCTTGCAGCAGTTATAAAAGGATTATTCCTCATGTTTCTTCCCCAGATAAAGCTTTAAGTTTATTTTTGGTTAACAATCCTGGTAAACGAAAAAAAGTCTGCAGCTTGCGAGTAGGGTCGTAAGAAACTGTAATTCCTGTTGTGACCTGAAGATGGCACTAAGCCGCCATTGTCACGCAGATGAACCGTAAAATCCAAACAGGCTGACGTTAGCCTCCTCCTGGATGTTTTTCTTCGCCGTTAAAGAGTTTGGCTACAGTAGAGCGACATTAATCAACCTCTCCAGTCTCTGAAGCACCTCCAGCGACACCTCTGCGGAGTCTGCTCCCCGTCCACTCGATGCTCCTGAAGGTGAGTAGCTATCGTGACAGCTCGGTGCCTCTCTAACCGGAGAGACTGCGTAATGTTAGCCGCTAGTGTTAGCATGCACCGCTGCTCAAACGGCAGAGTCAGACCAGTGTTTACCGTCAGAGTCCGACACTCGGAGCATTAGTTGAAGAAGAGAGGTTTTCCACTGACATGAAAATGAAACAACGGGAAGATTTATTTTAACTCTAAGCCGTTTGAAAACGAGTCTGGCTGACTTAGCTAGCTAGCATGTTGTCAGGCTAAGGTCAAGAAGCTGTCCAATCTGACAGCTAACGCTAACTAACATGGTACCGATTCTACAAACGGGATATGTAGGAGACAACCACGCCAATAGCAGGTAACATCAGCTCCGGTTCTGACCGCTGGAAACGGGGCTGTGTCGCTCACAAGATTTCCAACAAGAGGTGGGTTCCTGAAAGTTTGGCTGGGGTAAATATGGTTTTAAGGGAGGCTGATGGAGTCAGATGGGCTGCCCAGTGTGGCATACTGGGATGGGTTGGTGGTGGTGGTATTGCTACCTGGCATTTTATGAAGATTTGCCCGGGTTTAATCGTAGCTTTTCTGGGTGTGATGCTGCTGCTCCACAAATGGCGACAGTGTTAGTAAATAAACCGACTCATCCGCTTTACTTCTGCTCTGTGGCGTTTCTGCAGAGGATGCGGTGGTTTCTGTGGCTCCTATGTATTTCTATATAACCAGCAGCTAACAGCCTCTTCTCAGGCATCAGTCAGCTAAGCTCAGTGATGACTGACGAGGTTTCCAGGTCTTAATATAAATTTCTGATCATTACATTTCTGGTATGTAACAGTGCTGTGCAAAAGGTTTGAATGTGTCCTCATTTCTTTATATTTTGGCTTCCAAGGAGCCAGACTTTCTTGTAAATTTTTTGAAGTGAACTTGAGCAATAATAGTTCTGCTCGCTTTCTGGATTTTTTTCCCCCACTCGTTTTCAGTCCTTGTACCTGATCATTTTCAGAATATTTTTTTGTTTCTTCAGAAACTTAAGATTGACCTATGAATCATTCAAGCATAAAAAGGCTTCTAACTCAAAGGATGAATCAGTGTTGTGTCTACGCAAAACTGTCAGCTTGGTAAAAAACCAGCAACCAAGTATATCCTTAGACAAGTGGTTAGTGGCAGCCTGTTGCATAACACATAATTTGCTCCCATTCATTTAGTCAAATCTGTGAAAATATCTAAAGATAACACAGTTTGATAGACATAAAATTGTATTTTTGCACCAACAAGGTGATTCTCGAAGCGCTATTGGCCCAAAACTATAAGACTAGGTTGTGTGAGTTTGAGTGTGTGGGTAAGCTAGAAAATGCCCTTTTTGGAATTATTAAAGTTTCCCAATCGGAATCTGAAAAAATAACTATATTTTGGCGTGGAGAAACAATCCTACAAAGACCTGACACAAGACCTGAGAGTTCCATCTGGCGCTTCAGTTGATTCAGCTACTGTTCACTGAAGCCATGTCACAAATGGCTTTATAGAAGGGTGGCTGTATAAAATATCTTAAAGCATTTTGGAGATCTTGTCAAAACTGGTATAACTGTAAATGCAGGAAAGTACCATGAAATTTTTTTAAACACCATGCAGCACCAACCGGAAAGCATTTGATTGGGAACAGTTTCATTTTTTAAAATTTTTTTTTTTTTAGCATAACAATGATTTCAAACACACACACCATTGCAGTAAAAGCATACCTGGATAGAAAAACACACAAAGGAACACTATCAATCATGGACTGGGGTCCGTTCTTCGTACCCCGCTTACTACATCCAAGATCAAATCATCGCGCTAACTTTGAGCTCGCTATTCCGGTTCTCCGAACGCAGCTGTTGTTGACGATTAGTATAGCTGGATGAAGTAATGTGAGATCACTGGGTGGCTTAACAGGGGCTATGCATCGATAGTAGAAACATTGATCGGCAACCCTTTAATTGGTCGACGAAAATGTCGAAGGAGCGCGCTCGGTATTTTTCGGCAGCAGAGCAAGAACTCTTGATTGAGGGATTTCAGGAGTTTCAGAGTTTAATTAAAACGCAAGGGAACACTGCAAAGGCTGCAAAAGCAAGGAGAGAGGGCTGGCAGAAAGTTGCTGACAAATTATACTCGTAAGTAATTTAATAATAATAATAATAATAATAATGTCCCTATGTGTTAGCCCTGCGACAGACTGGCGACCTGTCCAGGGTGTACCCCGCCTTTCGCCCTATGACAGCTGGGATAGGCTCCAGCGCCCCCCCGCGACCCTGAAAAGGATAAGCGGAAGCGAATGGATGGATGGATGGATGGATTTATATAGCGCTTTTCAAGGCACCCAAAGCGCTTTACAATGCCACTATTCATTCACTCTCACATTCACACACTGGTGGAGGCAAGCTACGGTTGTAGCCACGGCTGTCCTGCGGCAGACTGACAGAAGCGAGGCTGCCATATCGCACCATCGGCCCCTCTGGCCAACACCAGTAGGCGGTAGGGTAAATTTATTATATTATATTGCATTATATCATATTATATTATATTACATTATATCCTCTTTCACATTAGAGCCACAACAGGACCCACTAGAACATGGGAACAAGTAAAAGTGAAATATAAGAATATTCTACAGAATGGTAATATTTATCACTTATATTGCTTTTAGTCTCTTGAAAAGAGACCCTGAAATAATCTGTTTGTGTGTTTATAACAGCAACCAAGAAAAGGGCAGAGCAAAAAAAGACAGGTGGTGGTCCTGCACCCCCTCGTCAACAAGTTGGTTAAGTAAATAATACCCTCACGGGAAAATCGATATCTCTCTATGAGCACACTGTTGCGCTGAGCTAAAGGATCCTGTCTATCCCGCAATATACGCTGAATTCTGAACCCCCTCCGAAGGTCGGGGGTTCGATTCTCCTGAACAGCTACCCTGAGGTACCCCTGAGCAAGGTACCATCCCTACACACTGCTCCCCGGGCGCCCAATGGCTGCCCACTGCTTCACTGAGTGAATGGGTTAAATGCAGAGAGGAATTTCCCCACGGGGATCAATAAAGTACACTTTCTTTCTTCTTAAAGGACCAGGAATTCATAAAATCTTAAGGTATTTAAATTTAAGAAATAATGCATAAAATATGACAATGCAAAAAAAGAACAACTCAAAATAAATAATCTACACTTTGACACAGGGAGTTAGTCCTCAACAGGACGCTTATGTTATGTTTCAGTTTGATTTAATGTAGCAGTGAGTGTTAAAATGATAATTGTCAAAAATAACTTTCTTCAATAAAAAATGTTCAATATTAATTTGATAGAACTCATTCCATCAATAGCTTGATAGACAGCAAAGAAAGTCTAATTATGATGAGAATACCACTAAGTTGAACTATTCATGTGACTGGAAGAGAGTTAAAACTACAGCATGTTAGGTTGACGCACCCGCAGCACTTAATCTATGGGTCTCTGCAGCCATGCAAACTGAAAGACTGATCAATGGTCTGTATGGCTTATGTAGTGAGTCATAAACACAGAACAGTGGCAGTACAGATGAAATGTTTTACAGTTGTTTAGAACCAAACTATTGTCATCTTGGGTTGTTAAGTCAGGGTAAGTGATTTGGTGGAGGTTGTCAAAGTAGCTCCTTTTCTAAATCCATGCACTGCTCTCGCTCTCTGACATGCCCTTGTTTCATCTTTTGTCATCATTGTGCACTAGGAATGTAAAAGCAACCTGTTGCCTTAGCAATGATATTGCAATATTAAACATCTAGATCACAAAAACAATTATACAGGTGTTTTTGCTATTTCTATGCTATTGCACAACCCTAGTTACTAACGCCATGGCCTTAAACATTTCTATTAGACCGCACTTCCCCCCATTTCTGTCTTACTTCACTGTTACATCAAGTGGGGTCAAATTGGGCATCTGATCCAAATCTGAAATTGTCAGAATTAAGGTTTTAGTTTATAATAGATGCTTATGTTACTTCATTGAAATACATGTCGTACATGTGTCATGTTCAGTTCCTGACAGAAAATGAATAATAAACAAACCAAAATTAACCATTGTGTGTTCACATCTCACTTTTAACCTTTAACAGAAGTACTGATTTGGTTTATATCATGATGAATATCAATATCAACTGATGACATAGTAATTAATTGTGGCACCAAACAGATTTGGTGTACCACCAGTCACTATCCAGGCTCATTAGGTTTTCTTGAGATGTTTAAATTTAATCAAACATCAATGCCAGATGCAGACCTTTCATATAATGTACAGTCCAAATTAAGATAATTACAAAAGACCAGTCAACAAAGAGTCAAGAAAAAGGCTTCATTGACTTCAGGATGTCAGCTCAATATGTGCAGAAAGTTTCATAATGAGAGAGTGACAGATCTTTGATCTTGTGGTACAGCTGTAACATATAACCCAGCCTTCTGCCATAAAATTCATAACGCATCAAAATGAAACTTCCTTTTACAGCCTTCTGAGATTTGTCTTAGAAACATAATTTGCTGTAGCTGAATGGCTTTTTAGTTCAATGACTTTCTGAACCCTCAGTTCTCTGTGACATCATGTGACTACTTATTTGTGGAATAAATTCTTTGTATTTATTACACGGCGTGCTGCGGGGAAAAGTCTGTTCTAACGTTTGAGTCTAAGGTTTATTTTTTAGCACCTGGCGGCTCTTTTTTACTTCTCATTCGTAAATAATCTGCTCTTTCACGTGATTCAGTTTATTTTGAAAAGTCTCAACAGGATCTTGAGCTTTATTGTGAATGGTTTATGTGGTACATAAACAAGTGGACATGCGATGGTGTTACCGTCGTTGTTGCTAACCACAACGCATAAAAACAGGCGCTTGTCCGTCCGTAGTGTGGTTATATTAAATATAAGAGAAAGAGAGAACTTTAAGAAATTAATATAGCCACTACAGTGACCATCAAAACGGTGAAAAAATATTGCCTTAAACAGTTTATTTTGCGACACCACGAAACAAACGATAGCGTAAAATGAAACGATAGACGTTTTTATATCGTCATCCAATATATATCGTTATATCGAACAGCCCTATGTTGAATGGAGTCCCAGGTGTCTCTTAATAGGCAGTAAACAAGCATTCATTCTCTGACCTCAGTTGTCTGCCTTCAGTATCAATTTTGTTTTGTCTGCATCCAGTTAAACTGTGCGGGCCTAAATTTCATTTAAATAAAAATACTAAATAATTTAAGAAATTTGAGCGCTGCATTAAAATACTGAATAGCTCCAGAGTAGAAACTTAGTTCAACAAAAGTGATTACTGACACACTAATTAGATAACTAAGGATAATTGGAACAAAATGGACTACACCTGTGATTTCTGATGAGCCTAATTGCGTGCATATGGATATGAAATTACCCGTGAACAAGGACAA